CATGGTATAATGCTCCCTCAAGCTTTGAGGCATAGCTCAAAGTAGCAAACACTGCAGCAAACACCGTTAAACTTCACTTTTCCATAGCCATGACAGCACAAGCATAGCGATGCAAAGCAGCACGCTGCATCCTGACCATCTCATGCTTGCTGAGAGTTGGCTCCAGGTAAAAAAAAGCACAAGAAATTGAATCCAGTCCATATGCCTCAGTGAGACAGATTTCAGGCATTTTTAACCATTTAATTACAAACAGTTATAGCACATGCGTGTAAAGGATACAACTGTGAATTACATGCTCAGTTATAAAAATCTTTAGCATATGCAAGATTTTATTTTTAAATAAATATCTATACATATGCAGAGGGAGATCAACACTGCGTTTTTGTGGCAGTTAAAAGTGCAATAAGAATTTCTGAAAGTTATGCTTCCTGTAGCAGCATTAGTACAGCAAGAAAGGAAAATCACTGGAAAGGAAACACTGAAACACTCCTTTACAAGAGGCAGAAGCTAGAAGTATTGCTAGCATGCAATGGAACAGTATAATGTATGAAAGATGAAAGATTAAATAAATACTGGTATTTTCAGACCGAGGCATTTAGCTGTAGTTTCATCTTCCTACCTTCTGCAGTGCTAACCAAAGCCAAAATCATTACCTTGTTCAGAAGTACGCTGCCACATACGTGCTAATATCAGTTAACAGCAAAGGCAAGAATGAGAAGTTAGCAAATTTAAATGAAAGGTTTTCTGTAAGAATGTAGGACTGTTTTAACATGAGCTAGGGGGAAAAAAATAACACACAGAGACATACAAATCAATAAACAGCTCCAGGAATCATTATATCCAGAAGTGATCTACAATAAAAAAGAAATCCTACATCCTCTCCCATTCTTTGCAACAATTTTTAAAGCATGAGAATTGAAGCACATTTATGCACAGTAAGCCTGTGGAGCATCACTCCCTCCCTGCAACTCCTGAGAGCAGGGCTGCAATCACACATTTGGTTTTGGGCTCCCCCCATACAATCACCACCACCTCTCAGTAAGTCCAAAGGACTGGAGGCACACAAGGCTGCAAGGAAGGGCCAAAGGAATGGGAGTTTGCTGGAGACAGGTAAGGACAGGTGTCTAAACAGAGTTAGTCTCACAGCAAAACAAGAGATGTTCAGAGCCAGACTGGAGAAGTTCCTGAAGGACCTGACCCAACATTGCAGCTCACTTGCTGACAAATGGGGCTTCGGTTGGGCAACCTCCAGAGATCCCTCTGATTTCTGTTATTCTACCATTCTGCATTCACAGCTAGGAGCAAGGCAGATAAAAGGAAAGCAGAAGATGGTGGTAGGTGCAGAATGGATTTTATCCCAAACAATTAATGAAAGTGTTAATTATCAGTGTTAATTCATCAGCTCAGAGAATAACAAAGAATTATAATATCATCACAGTATTTCCTGGGATAGTAAAGATTTATTTTAACAATTCTAAGGCTATTTCAGGAAGTGCCACTTTTTAATGGCCCTAAAGGAAAACTGCCTTCACCTTTAGTGCTGCTCAGCTACACGCATGCTTTCATCACACTAAAATGCTTCCCGTTTTTGTGTCTTTCAGAGAGATTTCTAACAAGAAGTTAGACTCAGTTTTGAAATATACAGAAGTACCATAGTTCAGAGATGCTCAGTTCTCACAGGTGCTTTTATAACACAGGCGGCTTCTTTTCACTTCTGAAGGAAACAAATCCTTCGTTATCGTAGCAGAACTAACCGTAATGTTCTTAGAAAGGAGTCTTAATTACAATCATTATAACGATAGCATGTGGTGAAACAAACCTAACTTAGTTCAAAATGAAATGCAGAAGTCAGGAAACAGATTCTAAGCAGTGTTTGGTTTAAGATTTCAAACCTCTACAGACAGGGGGGTTAATAAACAGCCAACCTGTTAGCAGCATCCTCCCAGGGCTGCCGACGCACAGCAGGTTGGCACACATGTCCCACACACAGTTCTCATCTTGTTGCAGTGGACTGTCTCAAATATGAACATTCCTTGAGCCCACGGAAGAACTGGGGACCAAAGTCCACAGGAGCACCTCATTGGCAGCAGGATTGCTGCCAGCAGCAGGTGACAGTGCTGATGACAAGCAAAGCACGCGCTGCCGTCCAGGGCACCTCTATGGTGCAGCTGGGGCATGCAGATGCTGCACAGCCACAGGCACCTCGGAGCTTTATTGGTTGGGCTTTAACAGGAGGTACCAGGTGAGGGAAAGCATAGAAAGCATTTCAGTACTGTTGGCTTTACACACCTGCCATCAATTTTATAATCCATATGAAGCAATGCATTCCCTGGGCTGTGCAGCCGAATTTTAACAAGGTTGCAGCAAGGTCCTTCTAGTGGCCATGGCAGCACCCAGAGCACAGCCAGCGCTCACACTGGGACATCATAGCCCAAGAGCAGTATTAATTAACAGCGCAGAAAATGGAAAGCTCATCCACTCATAGCGTTCCAGGGAAGCCTGTAGGAATACAGATTTCAAGAATAAAGATACTTCTCTTTCACATCCACAGCTCAGCTCACGTTTAGGACAGTTAAGCATCATATAAGCACTGGCACAGAATTCACTGAATTGTTGTGCTGCCTGTGTGCCAGCCTTGCTTGTAGACTACAAGTGAGCAGGTACAACACAAGCACACTCATTTCCATCTAAAAGTCATCTAAAACACAGTGCTGGCATGAATCCACACAGAAGGAAGGAAACTACCAGAGCCACACAGTAAGGACAAATGAAATGGCCATGGAGTACCAGAGGTGGGAATTCCATCCACAGGCAGGAGTGAGACTGAGCACCTTTTATGTATGCTAGCAGTCTCTGTACGGGAGACAAAACAGAAGACTCAACACCGATCAACTTTCTACGTAAGGCAGCAGCCGTGCGTTTCGGCTGAAATCCTGACACCGCCTTGGAAGGAAGATTTTATATTTGCAGCTCTTCTCCCTCCTTCATCCCCTCTGCTTTTCTGACAGCACTGCGAATTTCACCTCCGGCTCCCAGGAATTCGTTCCCAAATGATGGGTTAATTGAGTGACACACGCAAGTCTTATTTCTGCGCTGTTCCAAAGGCACTGCCAAGATATACTGCACACTGGAACAGCCAAGATAAAAACGGAGGCAATTTCAGTTACACGATCATAAAAGTCCCTCAGCCAATTCAAGCTACTAAAGACAGCTCTGTTCGATTGCCTTAACACACAAGTGAACAGTTTTGATTTCCCAAATGGAAATCTTAGAAGCCAATATTCAGCACAGTGTTATATTATCACACGGCGATAACCCCCAACATCAAAGATGGTGACGTAACAGTGACAGTATTAGCATACAAGAGGAACACAGTATTAACTTCCTGAGGCAGGAAAAATGCAATCTGTTTCATGAATAAAAGTATTTCATAAATAATCATCTGTATCAGGAACATCCTGCATTCAGCTACTGAGCATTGATACTGTACAGATTTCTGCCAGTTTCATCACTCAGCTCTCCCTGGGTTCTTCAGTCTCAAATGTTTTTGTACTGGTATAGAAAGTTGAGTGACACACATCAAATAGCTTCATACGTATCTAGGAACTCTAACTTCAGTAAGATAAGGAAGTCTGTACAGTAATTTAAAAGCACAAGAAATAACCATCTGTATTACTTGGCGGCATTTACATTTACATTTAAGATAGCAGTACTGGCTGTAAAGATCTCCGTACAAATCAAGATGTCCAGCCCATTGTTATAGAATCTCTACTATAATTCAGCAGTTATTACTCTCACCGTTGTATCACAAGTTTTAAAGGTCATTCATGATACTGAGAGATGAAGATCTCTTTAATAACAGCGGAATACGTTTTTTGTGAGAGAAAAGGTGCAAAAGATGCAACAGATCATTGCATCTTCCCTACTTCGGCTCCCCCAAGTTATGATACCACTTCATATTCAGATGGATACAGAGAGATCCCGAAGGACTATTCAACAGTCATCTATAAGGAAGAACAGTCTTTAGGGAATGAGAAAACCTAAAGGGTACAAGTAACAGGAAATAAGTTGCAATTAACATCGTGTGGGATGCTTGCAGTGCAAGCTGTGTGCTGGAAAACCAGCGACTGCCTGCCCACACAAACTCCCTTCCACACAGCACGTGCTCTTCAGCATCAGCAGGAGCTTCTCACAGACCCTCAGGCCAAGCAGCTCTCCACACCAGAACGCCTTGCCCAGGAGGTGCCACACACCTACTGCTTCCCAGGCAGCACCAATGGCTCCACAAGATCAAACCTACCTGCAGTGCCAGTAAATATATTTTTAACTGTTGCAGTGTTAAAGCAAATGAGCTGCATACGTGAGTCACTTCTGTTTGCCGTTCCACAATCTCACGATGGATTATGTAAAGAAATGTTTTCCAACAAAGCAGTTTGTCATTACCTCCGGGGTTCTGACAACGCTTTGTGGATTTTCATGAGCTATAGTAGGAAGTTAGAAGTATCTGGTTAGTGAAAAAATAATTTAATTAATACAGTGACTACAAGCTTGCAAGTCTATTTAAATTATAGACCATAGCAGATCACAAGAGTTCAGTCTAATACAAATGCCCTGTTACAACTACTGTCCTTAAGCTATAACTTGCTACTATTCTGCCATGCTCATAAATAGTATCTGCTTATAATTTTGTATTTTGTCCCTACAGTTAGTTGATTGAATTCTTTGTTACTTTTACAGCCAAACATTGTATTTGCTAATAATTTTTTTGAGGTGATCAGCATTAGATTTGGTGGAGAGTAAAGTTTAATTAGGATCACTTTTAGAGTGGAAAGAAAATTGAGTTTCAGGTATGAACCCCAAAATATTTTAAAATATTTGGTGAGTAGCCAATGAGGACACTGCTCTGTATATTCTTTTATTTCTTAAAGTAAAAAGAGATAATTAGAAGTATTCTTACACTGAAGTATTAGAGTAATGAAGGCTTTGAATAATCTTCCTACCTTATCTGCCATTATCATGGAGGCCCCGCCATGAATTCCAAGAATTGGAATAGAAGTCTGAGATGAAATAAAATCCAAAATCTGAGCTACTGCCTCCTGATCTGAGTCGTCTCCAAAAACCACTCCATGGATCTTGGTACCTGACATCAAGTCGCAAACGTGTGTTATGATGCTTTTAGGGTCAGTCTGGTTCACCAGAAGGGTCACTACATTAACATCAACAGTCAGGTCTGCTGACATCTCCCTGGTCCAGAGAGATCTGATATCTCTCTCTGTGATATCCTTGGTCCTTCCCAGAATGACTGCAATGTTCAGGACAGGATAATTCTTCTCTGCTCCACGAACAAGATCCAAAGGTGCAAGAAGAGCTTGGAGAACCAGGAGAGCACAGCCAATTTTCCTCATCTTTGCCAGCTTTATCCCCTGTAAAAGTGATCACATTGTATGAGAAAAGGAACAGAGAGGAAAAAAATATGTACTGCGTATCTCCAGTGGAGGTTCTAAACAGAAAGCTTCTGGACACCAGACAAAGTTTAGCAGCTTTTTATAACACATTCTTCACGTAGTTTCGTTTCAAGCTTACATCCCTCAAAAACTTGAGTTGGCAGTGATAGATGGTACTGCAGTTGGTCTCCCACAAGCAAGGCAACAGGAAAAAAAAAAGCACAAGTTCGGAAGAAATAGCCATTAACATTTTTTCTGGGTGGCTAACAAAATTGAAATGACTGAAACGATTCAAACAAGGCGCCATCATCCTTCTCTTTAACCTTGCCTTCCTAAAGCAGGTGAAGAACAGAAGTCTGTTTTCCTTTGGTGTGTCTATTTAAGATTTAGTCACAGTCTGGTAGAAAGAGGTGCGTTAGCTTAAAATGAGAGAAGCAAGCCCGAGGTCTGCTGGAAAGCCCAGTCCGTGTACTCTGTTCATTGCACAGCATCCCAGAAACGTGCTGCTTTAGTTCTGAAGATCTCTCCTCGCCAGCTGCTGCTCAGGCACAGTCTACTGCATCTCTGGAACAGATTCAGCAGCACAATATTCTATCTTAATTCTTCTCCCTTCTCTTACACGGCATTCACTGGAGCATCTCAGAACTGCTGATCTCAGACACAAAGTTGTCCCTGGTGTTGAAGGGGAGGGTGATCCAGAAATGAGCTGCATTGGGTTACTTCAGAATCAGCTGGATCTCTGTACGGGGCTGAATACAGAGAGATGAGCCAGAGAAGAAGTGATCTAAACTATCTGACGGAGGGAAAGGAGCTCTGACTCCGCAAGATCTCCCTCTGTTTCTGTGCCCCCGAGGGATTTCCACCCCCACGACTGACTGCTAACTAACTGCAAGAGGGGAGTCCCTGTGCCACACTGAGCCAACCTTGTTGCAAAGCGTCACACAGAAAGCACCAGCAGGGCTGGCCAATCAGGAGTGGCAGTTTTCAGATCTCTTTCAACATGCCAACCGTATCTCCATCATCAATCAGAATCATCTGCTGCTGAAACGCACACCAAGACAAGGGCTTGCTATATCATCACCTCTTGTCGGGGCAGACTAGGAGATGAGCTTGTTGAGACCATTTAATTGCAAATCAGTCCCAACGTGCTTCCTAAATCAAAGCGGTGCGGGCCACGTTCCCACCGCTGCAGCACCAAAGACGGCGCAGTCAGCGGCGGGCAGAGCCACAGCGCGGCCTCTCACGCCCCTGCACAACCCGGAGATTCGAACCCGCGCTCCCGACACCTCCCGCCCGCACCCAGCGCCGAGAGCGCCCCGCTCCCCGCCGAACCGCGCCGAGCGCCCACGAAGCCCGCTCGCGGCGGCACGATGGCGCCCCCTCGCGTCCGCGCGGCGCCGTCCCACGTACCCAGCGCCTCAGGAGACGGAGCGGTGGCGGCAGCCGCGGGTGCCGGTGGTGCCGGTGCTGGCGGGGCCGCTGCCGCGGGCATGTCGCGCCCCTCGGTGCCCGGGCTCACAGGCGGCCTTCGCGCCGCCGGCCGCAAGCGTGATCCCCGCCGCAGAGCGCGAGGCCCATCGCATCCCGGGAGGGCAGCTAGGCGGCCAGAGAGATGGGCGCAGGGGGGCTGCAGACGGGGAGAGAACGGAGGGAAGGAAGAGGAGAGGAGAAAAGCCGTCAGTAGGGCTGGATGTTTAACGGGGAAAAAAAAAATAAAATCAAATGTAATCTCACGTGGCACGCGAACTGAATTACCGCGACTGGAAGCGACTCCGAGTGACCGGACTCAAAAGTTTCCCCCCACCCGCCCGCGTTTAGGAACGAATCCGGGCTCTCCCTACCGGAGATGGCCCTGGAACCCACAGCCCGCCCGGCAGCGTCCTCAGCCCGGCCGGCAGCTCCCGCCTCTCCGGGAACGCACGAGCCGAGCCCGCACGAGCGCATCCCGCCCGGGGGCAGCGCCAGCGGCCAACTCATCCGCACGGGCAGGAGGGGGGCGGCTCGTGGCCCGCAGGGAGCGGGGAGCAGCACGGCGCGTGGCGCGAGACTCCGCATCTTGGAAGGCACAGATTCGTTCCCAATTTTCCGTAAATCGACCCAGGGAGACACACAGGCTAGGGTTGCTTCGGTTTTTCATTCGCTATCCTCAGTAAATATGCACGGAGACACTTCTTAAAGCGACCCCAGGACCCAAAGGCTCCCACCGCTGCTCAGCGCCGCACTCACCGCGTTCGCACCCCACATCGCTCTGGGCTCGCCCTCCTCCGACTCATCTCAGCGGGTTCCTCTGCAAACAACGGGGCGGGAAATAGGTCCTCTAATGCCGGGATTTCATCCCGCGACTTGCGCCCACCGCGGTACGTGCGAGCCTGGCAGCTCTTTATCTCCTGAAATCCCGCAGGATCAAGTTTTAGCAGAGCCATCACAACTGAGATTTGCTCTTTACTTTTGGCAGGAGGCGTTTCAACGTCTTCATGGCTTTTCTTTTCTTTCTTTCTTTCTTTATTTTATTTTTTTTTTTTTTTCCGGCTGTTGGAAGGGCAGTTGCAACGCTGCTGCGGCAGCTCCCGGTCCGATGCTCCCCGGTCCTCCACCTCCGGCGGGGCTGACAGCGGCGCGGCCCCGAGGCTCGGCGGGAGCCACCGACGGGAGCCACCCGGCGGCCGCTGCCGGCCCCCTCCGCTCCGCCGTCCCCAGCCCCGCCGCCTTTGCCGGGGCGAAGCTCACGGACGCCTCGTCAAAGCGAGACAAATCGCGGCTACTTTGAAGGCTCCCCCTCCCCGTTCTGCCTCTCCCAGAACCAGCGAATGAGTCAGACCCAGGCAATCGGGGGAGGTGTCACATCGGGAATGGTGAAAGCGCCGGGGCTGGGGCAGAAGAGAGGCAAACTTGAGCGCTGGTCTCACGTTAACAGTCCCAGCGAGAGGCTGGTAGCCCGGGAAACCCCCAGAGCGTTCTCCTTTCTCTCGATGCAGAGGCTGTCGAAGCGAAATCCTTGCCGTGGCTCAGGAGAGCGAACGTGGAGCGGCGGCCTCCGCGCTAAGAGCAGCCCGAAAAGCTCCAAACCGCCGGCAGGATGCACACAGGCGCCGTGCAGCAGCCGGCTCCGTCGGGGCGCTCCCGCTGCTCCGTGCAGCCCGACGCTCCCATTCCAGGCGCTGTGCTCACGGCTCGCGCCCGCCCCGGCCAATCCCGCTCCTGCTGCACCTACGCCATGGCTCTGCTGCTTTCCCCGTTCCGGCACCTCACTCCAGCTGCCACAACTTATTTGCTTCTGCCGGAATAATACACCAGCTCGCTACCACAGGCAGGTGACGCCTTCTTGCAGCGACACTCATTTCTAATCGAAATAGCTAGGAGTAAGACCGACCTGCATCGGGACAGACCCCCTCCAGTAGCATCTGCAAACTTTGGGCTCGAACAGGTTGAACCCAGGCTGCCACTCCCCTCGGGCACACAAAACACAGAACTCGGTCCCCAAGACACTTAAGCACGCGTCAGTTTTACTGCTCCTGACAGTCTGTTTGTAAGAGTCCTCAGCAGATCTATGCCTTTTCTTTCTCGAGAAACCTTATCTCCTGACTTATTTAGATACGACTTCCTCAGATGTCACATTAGTCTTTCGCAGCAAAGCAATTAAGCAGCTACAACTGTGCAAGTTTTTAAAGTTTGATGTTTAAGTGCATCTTTGCATGTCATCCCGATGCATGCTGTCCTCCTGTAGCAGCTCCAGCAGTGATGCCGCAGTTCCACAGGTTTGTCACAGCAGCAGCAAAACAGGGATTGGAGACCTCCAGCATCCTCGAGAGCAAGTTAAATTCACCGTGGGGAACCGTGACTCTAACGTTAGTAATTGAAATACGTGTAACAGTAACTTTTAGCATTTGAAATACTAAAAAATGATGCAGTGTCTTTAGAACATACCTCGTATGTAACACTCTGTGCATCATTGGGGCTGAATTTGGTGGTTTAGAGACCAACAAAACCAATAGTCACATTTTCTAGCCTTACCAAAGCTGCGTGATTTTCACAAGTTGAAAATTAAATATACTTCAGCATCATCTCAAATATTTTCCTCAATTATTCTTATAAAACCTCTATAATGGGAGTACTAAATAAAAACTAAGTCCAAATGAAGTGCTCGAAGTTACACTTGTAATCTGTGTGTAAAAAGGGAACAGTTACACTGAAAGCAGCATGACAAACTCCGACTTCTCTGCGCTTGGCAGGTTACAGGTGCAGAGTTAATATTGTCCTGGAGAGGAAAAGCCAGGATTGGTGCCTAAGCAAATGCAGCAGTGCAGCTCCAACATCACTTCTTGAAGCTGGGGATCCTGCTCTCCGAGAATGCTTTCCAGGCAGTGTGTCCCTACCTCCTACCCACTATATAAACCCATATATAATGGTCCATCTTTTCCTCTACAGCAAAACTGCACTGGAAATAGGTTTCCCACTGCCTTAAAGTTACCTATTGCAGAGTACTTTTGTCTACAGAAACAAGAAGCTAAGTTGTCAGGTGCAAGAAATATTTCCAAAGGAGTTGAGAGGCGATGGGGTCCCCCAGCACAAGGGGCTTTCCCCACTAATAGCATCGAATTTGTTACCTTCTCACCATTTGCTGTTCTTCACCATCTGCAATGCTTACCTCAGAGACCAACTAAAATTCAAGTTTAAGGCCCAGGTTCAAGAAAACCCCATTTTCCTCTCTCTTTTTGGTAGGGGAAACATTAAACAAAATAATTAAATCCATCCTTTCAAAAGTGTGGTGAATGCCCTGTCCTTGGAGACATTCAAGGTCAGGCTGAATGGGATTCCAAGCAACCCGACTGAGCTGTAGGTGTCCCAGTTCACTGCAGGGGAGTGGGACCAGATGACCTTTCAGAGTCTCTTCCAACTCAAACAATTCTATGATTCTCTGAAAAAGGGATTTGTTCTCATGTAAGCCGTGATTCAAGATTTCTCTGGAGCAAACTGCAGGTCCTAGCAGTGATTCTCATTGCTGGGAAGCACTGCTGCATCAGTGTCCATGTTGTGAAGCAAGATGGGAAGTAAAGACTGCTAGAACTGGTTAAGGGGAGACTGCCTTTGAATTTATTCCGACTTTTAAAACATCTCTATTTCCATAACTCTTTTTACATTTTGAGGATATCTCTGTAATTAATAAATCTATATTTACCTGTGTCCTATCTGCCTTAAATACTTCAAGCCCCTCCGCCCTGAGAAAGTTTCCACAGCAAGAACTGAAGAGACATGGACATGAGATCATTTCTCGGTGCACACAGGATCAAGTCTGAAATGAAATGATTTGACTCTGCAAAACCTTAACACATTGCAAATAAGCAATAGCAAGCTTACTTTCAGGTTGGCTGCAAAGTTACAAACATAAACGAACTGCACAAGTAAAAACAGGAAAAAAATTCAACTGCTTTCAGATTTACTAAAACATTTGGTTACAGATGGCCCTCTTATTGAAAACTGGCTTAGCTCCTCATTTGGCAGTGTCCTTTCTTGTACAATTTACCAAGTCATGCATGAAATGATGGCCTTGAGCTACTCTCAGTTCTGCAAAGGACACAAGCTGGCTGCCACGGAAAAACAGCAGCGGCCTCAGTGAGAGGACCTGGGGGTACAGCATCCATCTCCTGCAAACAGCTCAGTGAGAACAGCCCAGCAGTTACTGCCCACCCATCACCCCATCATCAGGTATCTGACTTTCCCCAGGATTGTGGCCAGAAGCTGTTCCATGCTCACCAGGGTTGTGTCTTTGCCTCTTCCATCATTATTTTTCCCCTCTCAAATCACTCTTCCGCTTTATTTCCAAACTCCGCTGTGCAAATCTCAAGAAGAATACTGTTTCTCTGGGAACTGGCTAAATTAGTCAGATCTCACTGAGGGTCAAACCAGCATTCCGTTGTGATTTCCATGCTTTTTAATTAAAGCTGTGCTCTTAACAGATCTGTGTCACAGCAGTGCCGTTCTATGAAGGTTGTCAGAAGCAATCCCATAGTACATCCAGCTGCTTGCACGAGGACTGGACTTTGCAGATCTGAATGAGCTGAGAATGCCTAGCTTAAGGCTTCTTCTCTTCTTACCCAGCAGAAGTTATGAAACACCCATCTATTTCTAATAAAACTTTCTAGGAAGCACCCAAGAAAACACCTCACCTTGTATATCCAGCACAACTTGTTCATTCATGTCCAGGAGCAAGCAAGAAGTTGTTGACTGTTTAGGGCCAAAATACAACCTCCTCATCTTCACTGCATACAGTAAAAGTGACAAAGCTTTGTGAATCAGATTTGTTTTTAAATACTGTTTCTAGTCTTCCTTACCTCTTAGCCTTTTACCTTCCTTAGCCTCTTGCCCATCTATTTCTGGGCAACGCAATGGGCCCCAGCTTATATCAGTCTGCCTATAGGATGCTCAGATACTGCAAGAGTTTGAAGAAGTGGTTTTGCTTCTGCCTCACATGGAGCATTCTGTGTCTCTGTGTTTGAGACAGTCTACATTTATACAGACAGATTGTTTGCCCAAAAAAGCTCCTATATGTAGCTGATGCATATTTTTAGAACTTCTACTAAAAACGTGTTTCAAGCTGGAGATTGCCTCTTCAAAAAATTAGAATGACAATCACATAGTCCCAAAACCCAGCCCTTTGGATAAATACATATGCATTATGCATTCAAAGGGCTGGACAAACTGATGAGGTTTGAAAACATTTATCAGAAGACTACTACATATATCTTGAAGACAGGTGAACTCCTACAGTCTTAACAGTGTTAGTATTGCCTGCAAACCAAGCTTTAGTGGAACATTATGAAGTTATTTCACTCCAGATTTGATTTGACACAAAGAAAAGACTTCTTCGGACTGACACCAGACAGCAGTGACCTCTCACACTCCATTCCTCAGCAGTTCCTGCTGCCAAAGCTGCACTGAGGGGGAAGCTCTGCAGTGCCTACACTGCAGCTGCTCCCCAGGGCTTCGCTAAGTATATTTCTGCTTAGGGAGCTGAGACTTTGCTAAATCCAGAAAATCAAATTTAGTAAAGGTCGATGATAGCTCCTCAACACAGAGTTGCCTCAGCTCTAGCTGGAGGATATTTTTAAGATGAGTAGTATTTTGCTTCTCAGATCCAACTCATTTCTCAATTGTAGGCAACGGCTCTATTAAAACTAGGTGCTAAAGGCTTATGAGACACCTGAGCCAGTAGGAATAGATCCAAGATAGAAAAATGCCTCTTGGTC